TGGCGCCCAAAACTGGATGCAGTTTTCCAGCTGTGGCCTGACCAGCACCCGATAGAAGGGAAGTATCACCTCCTTGGTTCTGTTTGTCATGAATCTGCTGATGCATGATAAAGTGCAGTTAGCTTTTCTGATGACTTCGTCACACTGATGACTCATGTTCATCTTGGAGTCCACTAGGACTCCAAGATCCCTTTCCACTTCCATGCTGCTGAGCAGGTCATTTGCTAGGCAGTAGGTATGCTGGACATGTTTCCTCCCTAGGTGCAGCACTTTGCATTTTTCCTCTTTTTTGGCCCTAGAAATATGGTAACCCTAATCATTGTTCTCACTGAGCTTGGAGAGGGACAGAGGGGTACTGGGCCTACCACCCTCATCACTGACCTCAGCCACAGTGGTAAGAGGATCTGTCTAATGAGCTGCCATCAGGAAAGACTCATTGTATGAGGAGGTAGTCAAGGGCAGCAAGCACATCCATGGGGAAGGTAGCTTTCACTTTAGCCAAGAGGTATGAAACAAAGTAGATAGAGTGCAGGCCTAGCCATCAGCTAATGAGTACACAGGGTTGCCTGGTATCCTTTACTAAAGGAGCAGGGGTTGTGCAAACTGGTTCCCTTCCCACGCTTGAGATCCCTGGGTGCAGGGAGTCACTGGGAGGGAATCAGGGACAGGGGCTGCTAGAGGTTTTCTGGGAGAGCTAAAGAAAGCAGGGAACCGTGGCTTTGTGGGAGCTCCAGCAGACAGCTCTATAAATACAGCTGAGAAGGGGCTTTCCAGGTGCCAAACACAGGGGAGCTGCCTTTGGGGAAGTGTCTGGAGAATGGTGCGATTGATTGCAGCCATCCAGGAAAGACTGGAAAAGAGAAGAAACCCTGGTCTCCACAACAGCCACACCTGAGGTCTTGGCAGGCACCCCCATCTTCCATGATGGCATCACCACCCCTCTTCTAAGGCAGAATGAGCGCCACTCCCCAGGGCTCCACTGCAGCCACCCCACAGTGGGCTACTTTGCTGCAGGAAGAGTGTTTTGTGTGAGACCTGGCTGACTAAGTGTATATACCTGTTATAAGTTGCCTGAGTAATAAATTTGATAATATAATTGCTTTTTCTATATGATAAGTATTTGCTTTATCTGCTGGTATAGATTATTTTTGAGCTCATTGAAAATATTTTGTTTGTTATTTATGGAATGTTGAATTTGTCAGTCTCTCAGTTATTGTAAATAATAAATTATTGTAAATAGTTATTTAGTGTGTGGTCCAGCATGGGGAGGACCACAGGAGAGTACTCCAATGAGTGGCGGCTCCCAGCCTGTAGATGGAGTGGGAGTAGACTGAGACCTATTGGCATCCCAGGATCCCAAAAATTTGGAATTGACTGTGGGTAGTGCTGCTGCCAGGGTTACACGCTAATTACTCATCTCAGCTGCAAGCTTCAGGATAACATCTAGATACAAAACACTTTAGGCATAGATTCATTAATTGGAATTTGAGCCAATCTCCAGTTCTAACAAAATCTGCATATAGCTCATTGTTTCCAAGCACAGCAACCAGTTAAAAGCAATCACACTATCACAGTATCTTTCTAACACCCTGTTTCAGATGTTGTCTTACCATGGTAATTAGGGTGACTTGATTTTAGAGTGATGCAGCAAGTGTCCAGAGTTTTATAACACAACCTAAAACTTAAGCGAAACACCCAACACACAGTTCCATCCCCCAGCATGAGCTATCGATGCCAGAAATTCTTACCGTTCAAGAGTTACCAGTGCTACAAGGCACTGTCAGCCTCCTACTACTGTCTCAGCCCTGTATAAGGAGCACCTGACCATTATCCAGATAGTTCTGATAATTGAACCAGGCTGCTTGGCTCCAGGCTCCAGACCCTTAAAGGACCAGGTTTCCTCACTACACCACATAGACTTATTATTTATAATATTGCTTCTTTTCCTCCTTTTCTCGGAATCTGTAATGCCAATTTTATACTGCTGCAGGAACACCCAGTGTCAAGATCACACTGCATTTACTAGGAGTTACAAGATTTGTTAACCACTTGTGCTTCTATTATTGAGAGAATACATGACTTCAGTAGTCTCAAAACTAGAAGTCAGAGAGAGCACACATACAGAGGAAAGGATGTCAGGAAACAATTGTGTGAAATGCTGAGCACCCAACTCACTGGGACAGTGAGAACTCAGCATGGTCCACACCTTGCAGAATCAGGTTCCTGAAGATTTGTATATCCAGTTGCTCTGAAGTTAGGTCCTCAGGCATAATGGAAATTTTTACTACAAAAAGTACAACTTATCTTGAAAGCCCATGGTACAAACTTTTAAAAGCAAGAGTGGCCCACTTGTGGCATGAGTGCCACGAGTGGCATGGGCAGCCTCTGTGCATGGCATGTGGCAGATGCCAGGGTGGGGGCAGGCAGCATGATGGCAGAAAGCAGAGTAGGTAAGGAGCACAGGGAAGGGAGCAGAAAGCAGATTAGGCAAGGGAAGGGACTCAAACTGGCACCTGGGTATGTCTAAATTTGTGGCATGCTTGCCGAAAGTGTTGGCCACTACAAACCTTCTCAGCTTTTGCTTCAACCTGTGTATTTTCTAACAGGAACTCATATTAGCATATGCCTTTAAAACAAAAGCAGAACTCTCTCTACCTAACCTAAATAAAACAAACAATTTTCCCTTTGCAGAGGGAGACAGAACAAACCTGAGATGAAGGAGATTGGTCACAGATTGTGGATCCCCCACAGGAGCACACACTCAGGACCCCAGCCACACAGTCTCTTGGAATACCCTCTGAAACCAGCTCAGGGATAGTTTCCAGGAAGCGTGATCCCCTGGCTTCTTGGACTCTGAGACCAGACTCAGAGACCTGGCCTTTTGGTTCCTGACTCGCCTGATCATCCATAGTCACCTCAGAGAGCTACTTTCTGGCTCATCTCCTGGAAAGAGGCCTACCAAAGCCCACCTGAAGTCGCAGGCAGCTCTTACTAAAAAAAAAAAAAAAAAACATTTATTGGTCAGCAGCAATAAAGCAGGCAGAGTCCTGATCCCCAAAAACCAAGCAGTCTGCCAAGAAAAACAGCCTACAGCTGTGAGGCACACAGCATTATTAAAATATGAATACATTTCAACCAGAAAAACTGCAATGTAACCTTAGTCTGTCAAATCACTTTACCGGATGGTCTTCTGAAAGGCACTCCCAGGTATGTTCAGATGTTACATTTCAGTCGACCTAACTATGGTTAGGTCTAAGCACAAATCTGTGCAGATGTTCAGGGAGATTAGATTAGGCAAAAAAAACATGGCCTGCCCAATCTGCATTAGTTTACCTGAGAAGGTGAACTAACTTAGATCAGGAACAAGTTAGCTTGACCTACTGAACATCTGCGCAAATTTGAAATGCAGCCCCAGGGCTATGCTTTTCCAACCCCACCTCTGACCCTGATAAGGCAATTCTTAGCCTCCCATCTCTCTACCCCCAGCTCCTCCAGCTGTGGACCAGCTAGCCACCACTCACCCCCACAATCCCACCTGCCCCACCCTGAGTTACTTAGATTGGGTTCCTGGCTCGACTCCTGTCACCAGCAAATGTGTGCCCAAGCTGATCCGGAGCTACAGTTGCATGGCTTAATGTCAGTCACGTGATCGTAGATCAGGTATGATGAACATCTGGCATGCACCTTCAGAAACTACAGCTATGAGGATGGCAAATGAGGTTAGGCAGAATCGAATAAAATAAATTTTCACTGCTGAGCAACACAGCATCTGTAGTTTTGTATAAATAACATCATCTGAAACTGCAGATAGTACTTTGTAACATCTTTCTAGTTTGCAACTTATAGAACCAGTAATTTTCAAGGTCAGACATAACTAGAACGCCTTTGTAACTAGCTACTATATTTATAAAATATTGGATTTCTCTTTCTTTTTAGATCTGTAAAAGAATCTAAGGCCATGGCATTTAAAATATTAATTACAGCACATCTAATATCCATATTACCACATTATACAGGTAGCACACATCTTATTTCAATATCTAGGATAAATCTTATAGTCATCACAAATTAAAGATAACCATTAGTTAAAAAAAAATCCAATATAAAATAAATGACAGCTCATTACAGGGAAGAATTGTTTTTAAAAAACTAGTTAGCAATTGTTAAATGAACTGTTAAATTAACTAATAAAACTATAGAATTTAGAATAACTTTGAAGATTTCTGGTTTCAGCGTGTTTTTATAGCAAAACCAATTGTTTCTATTTTGTATCATCCAACTGGGCCCCTGCTGGGAAATATCATTAATGTTTCAGACCCCACTGAGAGACGATAGCACTACTTGCTGAATACAGATAATTGAAACAGTGACAGGTATTTTTTAAATTGTTTTTGAAATTCCTTTGAGACATAGTACAAATCTAGTAAATATTATTTATCAATCTAAAGAAAGCTTTGCAGTGGGGGAAAATATCGGTGCTGCTGGTTTGTTTTAATGATCTGTGCTCCCATACAGTTCTGATTTTTCACCATGTTTTTTAAAAAAGTGCCAGATCTGAAAAGGAGTCATTCATGCATGCAGTTTCAATGGCACTCTGGCCTGCCTGGAGTTACAACACTGAAAGACATTGCTCATCTTGAGAGGGAAGGAAATCTTCTGAGAGAGCCATGTAATACCTACCCAACTGCTCAATCACTCCCCCCTTCCCAAAAGAAGAGCCCCTGATTTTGGCGAAAAGCAGAAACTCTCTCACATACTAGGCTGAAGACTGGCAGAAGGTAGGGTAGAGCTGAACCTTATAGACTGAATCAGAGGTACATAACCTTTCTTGAGAAAACTCTCACTTTGTCGGATGTCATGAAATACAAAAACCAGGAAGTTAATACATCTCTGATTTAGTCTACAAGGTGCAACTCTACCCAGCCCTCTACCTGACTTCAGACTAACACAGCTAACTACTTCAGTCTGAAAAACGATAGCTCTGAAAGTCACAGCACAGTAATCTGTTTCTGAGAGCCTGCTTTTTGGAAGGATTCCCTGACAACTAACATACTGTCATTGGTGATTCTTCCTCTGTAGAGCTTTCCTCCTCCTTGTCCTCACAAGTGGGTCACATTGCCTAGCTTCACTAAGGCTAATGGCAAGTTTATTAAAAAAAAAAAGACCTGAAGCACAAAATAGAACCAGGGTCTGAAAGATAAGAGCAGATTAATAATAGGCACCTACCTTGGCTAGCCTCATCATCCCACTCACAGTAGCTTCTAAAGCACTAGAAAAGGAGAAA